TGGTGTCACGGCCGTGGGTGTCCCACAGGTCCCTCCAGTCACTGGTGTCACGGCCGTGGGTGTCCCACAGCTCTCTCCAGTCACTGGTGTCACGGCCGTGGGTGTCCCACAGCTCTCTCCAGTCGTGTGTCACGGCCGTGGGTGACCCACAGGCCCCTCCAGTCGTGTGTCACGGCCGTGGGGGTCCCACAGGTCCCTCCAGTCACTGGTGTCACGGCCGTGGGGGTCCCACAGGTCCCTCCAGTCACTGGTGTCACGGCCGTGGGTGTCCCACAGGTCCCTCCAGTCATGTGTCATGGCCGTGGGTGTCCCACAGGTCTCTCCAGTCATGTGTCATGGCCGTGGGTGTCCCACAGGTCTCTCCGGTCGTGTGTCACGGGTCTCTCCAGTCCCACAGGTCCCTCCAGTCATGTGCGATTTGATTGGAATAGCTAAGATAGGTTGGAGCTGGGAGAGACCACGGGATGCCGTGTGTTGACTAACAATATTCTTCCTTGTCCGTGGGGTCTTGCGTTTCTGAGGGTGCACTACATGTGGGTAAGGCAGTAAGAGGCAGAGGGGATACTGTTTTGCCCCAGGAAGGCCTTGCCCCCGCCCCGTCAGCAGCTGGGTTGATGTGCCGTCTCGAGGAGCTGGGCTGGCCTGGTCACCGCCTGTGTAGCGTAGCTTCGCCTCTGGGTTAGCTGTGGGGTGGTGGAATCGTGACCTTTCCTGCAGCCCAGACCCAGGCAGGAGAACCTGGAGGGCCCGCTCTGCCTTGGGGCTCTTCCGGATTCGTCCCACACCAGGCTCCTGGGACTAATGAGGCCTCCACCGGGCTTGGTCTTGTCTAACCTCTGGAGAGCTCGTACCTGTCTAGAACAAACGTGTTGTCCTCAGCTTTTCGGCGGCCATCAATAAGTTATTTGTGTTAGTTTGTTTAATGCTTTCCTTTTACAGTGAAGCGAAGGTCTTTGGTGACCTCCTGCCTGCTAACCAAGCATGGAATTCTGTTCTGCACAGAATCCGTGGCCGTGCCAGGAGGCCTTAGCCAGGGGCCTGCCTGGAGATCGGCCCTCCTGAGACAATTTCTGTGGGGTGGAGGTTGCTCAGAGCTGATGGTCCCAGCGTGGCACTGTCTGGGCCCCTACGGACCTGACCCAGCTGCTGCTCTCTCCACCGTGGTCCTTGTTTCCTGGGTTTGTAGCTGCCGAGTAGGACGGCCAAATAAAATGCAGGCTGCCCAGTTAGCGTCGAATGACAGATACACGAGTGTGTGAGCACGTCCCATGCAGTATTTGGGACACACGCTGAAAACGGGTTTGTTGCTCCTCTGGGATTGAAGTGTAACTGGGTGTCCTGTTTGTTTCACGGATACCAGGACTCAGCTGGGGGTCCCTGGCGTTTGTTTGCTCCGTTCCTGGGCTGTTCCCGGGGATGCGGAGACCCTGGCGTGGAGCGCCGCCTCCGCGTGTCCAGCAGAGGGCGCCCGTGCCCCCCGAAGGCAGCGCGGAGCCCAGAGCGCAGCCCAGCCCTGTGCCCTGGTCCTGTGGCTTGAGGTCGGGGAGGGAGGGGTGGTGGTCGCTGCAGGGCAAATGTTTCCACTCAGCCAGAGCCACGACCCACGGCCTGTGCAGGGAGAGTCGAAAACACGGCCCCTCGTGAGCACTTGGGAAGTGAACTGTCCCCGCCCTGGTGGGCCGTCACCAGCCACATCGAGAGAGACGCAGGATGGTGGTGGCCTCGCCAGAGGCATTACGTGTTCCCTGGAGCCCCTCCACCACCACCGTCCTTGTTCTTCTTTGAGTCGGAACCAGGTCCTTGGGGTCTGGGGGTGCTCAGCAGCTTTGCAGACTAGTTGAGGTCTTCCAGGTGACTCTCCTCGCCTTCACCGGCTCCTGGTTTGGGGGGCAAGGATAGAAGCTACTATGCATCAGGTTTGTGAATGGGGATTTAATCGAGTGTTTCACAGGGTGGCCCCTGCCATCTCCGCCCCCGTTTTGTACGAGAAGCAGGCGGAATCCAACTCTCCCCTTGAGAACACGCCGTTGCCCTCCACTGTTGCTTGTGTGTCTCGCCTGGCTGCGACCCAGTCAGAGCTCCCTGCAGTTGTCAAGTCCCTGGTTGACCTCAGGCTCCGGGCACTGAAGTCTTTCAGCGTCCCAGTAAGCACAGCCTGCGCACCCACTGTGTGCCAGCTCCCACCTTCCTGGAGCTTGGGGGAGGAGACAGGGACAGTGAGCAAACGTACAGACTGAGATGGTGGGAGGGGCTGTGCGGTCCGGGTTCTCTGCACGAGAGGCTCTGGTGGCTACGTCCCAGGTTGTCTGCACGAGGGGCTCTGGCATCTGGGCTCTGGCAGGGCGGCTGCTCCCCGGGTTGTCTGCACGAGGGGCTCTGGCGGCTGCACCCCGGGTTCTCTGCATGAGGGGCTCTGGTGGCTACATCCCAGGTTGTCTGCACGAGGGGCTCTGGCAGGGCGGCTGCTCCCCGGGTTGTCTGCACGAGGGGCTCTGGCAGGGCGGCTGCTCCCCGGTTGTCTGCACGAGCGGCTCTGGAGGCTGCATCCAGGACTGCTGCTGTGTGGTTTTCTTTGCTGTGACCCGGTGAAGACTTCCTCACGGAGCACACCGGACTCGCAGTGCTGACACTCGGAGGGTTACCCTGTCCCTGACTGTAAGATGACACTAAATTAAGAGGCACTGCAGGGATTGCAAAGTCTGAGTGGGATTCTGAATTCATGGGTTCTGGATTCTGAATTCGAAGGCAGCAGTTTCCAACCCTGTTAAATCTTGACCCCAGGAAGAAGGACCTTTTACATCTTAACCCGGCAGACACATGATACCTACTGGCACTGTATTTTGTTCAGTTAACCCTCAAATGATGTGTCCTAATGTTTGGCCCTGGGTCAAGCATTTCACAAACTGTTTAATCTTCTCTACAATCCCAGGTGATAGCTACTGTCTTCCCCCTTTATGCAGACAGACACCGAGGGATACCTTAGATGTCTTTCCACACCATCCACCCCCTCGGCCTTTGCTGCCCACTTCCTGCACGTCAAACCCACTGACGGGCACCTGTTTGACTCCAAGAGCCCCGGGGCCAGAAACGTGGGAGACAACTGCTGTTCTGACCTTGAGCAAGTAATTCACCTCTCAAGTCCCAGAGAAGCACAGAAAGCAACGGCAGGTGTAGTGGCTGGCTGCACTCAGGTGGCACCTACTGTGTGCCAGGCCCCCTTCTGCCCACTTCACAGGTGTCTCAGTCTCCACAGAGTCCGTTTGGAAACGGCCTGGAGCTATCCAGGTTGCAATGAGGCACCAAGGTGGCAGAGCCAGTGCTGGGCAAGAGGTGGGAGCTGCAGCTGCCGAACCCGTGAGCTTGCTTGCCTGGGGGTGGCGGCCTGGCCCCCAGGGGTGGTCTTGTCTCTAGGGGACCCAGCGTGGGGCCTTGTACCACCACCCGCTTCCAGCTCTGCCATCTGCAGGTGAAGGAGAAAGCCACTGAGGCCTGGCCTCCAGGTCAGGCTGTGTCCCTGCTGGGAGCTGCACCGGCCTCAGGTTCTTCCTGTAAGGGAGGACCAGGCAGCTGGGGGCAGCAGCAGATCCAGCTCTGAAAGCTCTGACAAGAAGTTCCTTGAAGTGTGATGGACCGCAGTCAGCATATGCAGGAGACGACCCCAATCCTGACCCTAATGCTAATTCTTGCTTCCCCCACCAGATTTTAATCCTTATCCTGCCCAGGGATTTTAAGGGCTGACCCAAATCCCGACCCAAGGGGAAGGATGGAAGGGGGAACAGCCTCCAGCCTCACCTCCGCGCTCTGTCCTCCCAGGTCGACCCCACCCCTCTCCCAGATCTCTTCCTCCTGGCTTGGCCCGATCCCACAGCCCCCACTGTCTTCTCCCCTCCCACTTTGGCAAGCCCCTCCACATGACCTCTCCCTGCTCCCCAGCACACAGTAGGTGCTCAATAAAGAACCCTGCCTTTCCTTGACTCCAGTAGACGTTGCACCCTCTCCATCGTAGCAGCAAAGGTGGGTGGGCTGTCAGGACTACACTGACAGCAGTGGTCATTTGCAGACAGGTTGAAGTGTGGGGGAAGCGCAGTGGTGATGCTGAAGCCTACGTTTATGTAGCATTTATGCCGGGCACGGTAACCCTCACAACCCTCATTCCGGCAGGAGCTACAGCCCCTGCCTCACCGTGAGTGCAGCAGGGAACCTGAACCGCCTGCCACAGGTCAGCTTGCACCGTCTTCCCATCCAGCACCACACTGGGTGCCTTTGCCGTCTCCCAAGAGCCCCTTACCCATGGAGTTCCCTCACGACGCCCCCTGCCCCACGGGCAGGTGTCTGACCACCCAGGACCCAGGAAGCAGGGTCGAGGAGCTCCCAGCTGAAGTCCAGTTGCTGAGATGCACCCTGTTTGGGTGTTGCTGGGGCAGGGGCTGATGGTGCTGAACAGGTTTTAGAGGAGGTTCAGGGTGGCGGCGGGTCCTGGCGCCCAGCAGCTTGTGTCTGATGCCAGCCCTGCCACTTGCCAGTAGGTGACCGTGAGTGGCAGAGCTCAAGGCTGGACTCCGGAAACGTGGGCCTCACACTCCTGAGGCCTCCCGGGTGGTCCCAGCCGAAAGGACCCAGTGTGGGCCCCTTGGGCCTCGGTTTCCCTGGCGTGGGTGCCCTCAATCCCCAGGCACCGTCAGCTCAGGGCTCCCCAGGACCCGGTGGGGGCACAGACCCCGGCGCCATTTCGTGGGGTCCCCTGCTCCTGGCGCCCCTGTGCTGTTCTGTGCAGCGGGAGGGCAGGTGCGCCGGGGACACCCACACCGTCGCCAGGTGGGTCCCGAGGAACTGGAGCTTCTCACGTGCCAGGGCAGGATTCTGAGTGTGAGGAGCAAAGAAACTCCTCTAATGAAGCCACGTCGCCCCTTCAACGTGAAGGTCCTTCCTGCTTTCGGGGGGTTCGGGGTGCACAGCGCGGCTGCCACTTCCTGAGGAGGAAAGTGGGGGGACCCGTCCTCCCCGCGGCCCTCCTGGTCCCGCGTCTTCCTTCTCCACGTCCCCCGGGGCTCCGAGGCCCGACCCGCGGGAACCTCCAGCCTCTGACGGCCTCACACCCGGGGTCAGGGCCGGGGCTCCAGGCGGACGAGGGCCCCGTGGCGCCCAAACGCTCCCCCACCCGCTCCTTTCGGCGCCGCGCGTTAGTCCGCGTGCTCCGGGGCCGCCACACCGCTCCTCTCCTCTCCCCTCCCCTCCCCTCCCGCCCCCCCGGCCCGCTTTTCCCTCCCCGGACCTCCCTGCCCCTTTCCCCAAACCCTCCCTCCCTTCCGCTTGGCCCCCTTCCCCACGGCCTTTTTTTCCCCCTCCCCTCCCTTTCCCCTCCCGCCTGACCGGACCCTCCCCCCTCCGCCCTGCCCCTTACGTTGCCCCTTCCCCCCCCCCGGCCCAGGGACCCTCCCCTCCCCTGCCCTCCCAGCCGCTCCCCTCCCCGGCCCTCCCCTCCCCTCCCCTCCGCGCGGGGCGGGCTCCGCACCCACGTGACCCCGCGGCCGGGCCGGGACGGGACGCGCTGGGACCGGCGTCGGGGGTCGCGGGGACCATGCAGCGGAGGTGGGTCTTCGTGCTGCTCGACGTGCTGTGCTTACTGGTCGGTAAGAGCCGCGGGGACCCGGGCGTGGGGGGGACCCTCCCGGGACGGACACGCCCCCGGCTCCGCGCAAGTTTGCAGGGGAACGGGGAGGCCGCACGCCCGGGTCCCTCCGAGGCCCAGACCTCCCTCCGCGCACCCCACCGCGCGCGCCCTCCCGGGCCCCGGGGTCCCCGCGTCCCAGGCCTGAGGGGTTGGGGGTCGCCAAAGGCCCGGGGAGCCGGGACCAGCATCCCCCGCCCCCGCAGCAGGAAGTCGCTGCCTCCCCTCCCGCCCCGCCCAGGCCGGGCGGTGATTCACGCGGGCGGCGGCCCCGGCGGGCCCGGGAGGTGGGTCCGCGCCTCCGCCCCTGGGGTGGGCGCTCCCTCGACTCTGGCACCCAGTGCGTCGGTGGGATTCGAACCCCTGCAGTGCGGGGAGGTCCAGCCGCCCTCCCGGCTCAGGCGGGGGAGACGCTTGGAGATAAAGTCTGGGTCCCAGGCTGGGGAGGTGCCGGGACAACCAAACCTGTCCGGCGGGTTTGCGGGCAGATTGGGGGGAAGGCCCCCCTCCCGCAGGGTCCCGGGAACAAAGGCCGAGTGTTTGCTCTGTGGCTGAACAGACAATGGCCCCGGAATTCTATCCCTGGGGGTGTCCTCCCCACCAACGTGTTTCCTGCTTCTCTGCCATCTCCCAGCAGAGGCCAAGTCCTCTCACTCCCGAAGGAGACCGTTTTTAGGGCGGGCCAGGTGACAGCAAGAAGTCCCTGTGGGGTGTCTGCCAGCCCTGGTGCCATTTCCCGAGCACCTATGGTGTTATTTATTTAAACATTTAGGTGGCGCTTTCTGTATGCCAGGCGCTAAGCAACATGCAAATAACGAAAACATTTCCCTTACAACAGCCTGTGAGGGAGGTGCTGAGTCACCTGCTGGAGGCCACACAGCAGGGGGAGGTCACACAGCAGGGGGAGGTCACACAGCAGGGGGAGGTCACACAGCAGGGGGAGGCCACACAGCAGGGGGAGGTCACACAGCAGGGGGAGGCCACACAGCAGCGGCAGGTCACACAGCAGGGGGAGGTCACACAGCAGGGGGAGGTCACACGGCAGCGGGAGCTACAGCCGAGATGGGGTTGGGTGTAGCTGCTGTGTGCCAGGGGTGGTGGCCAGGCCAAGTGCACCTCCGTTCTGGAAGCTCGCGCACATCACAGTTCAGTCAACACTGAGGTTCCAGATGCTGGCATGAGGGCAGTGTGAGGGCGGGAAGGCTCCCAGGGGGCTACATGAAGAGAAGGTGTCTGTCCTGGGGACCCCAGGGAGAGCTTTCCAGGCAGAGGGAAGCCCGGCGTCCATCTGAGTCTCTAGTTGGAGTTGCTGGGGCAAGGAAGTCGGAAACGGAGGCTAACCTGTGTGAGCCTCTGCCTCAGGAGAGCTGTGGGTAGGGGCTGGACTCCCTTCTCAGCATCTTGTAACCCTGACTTTCCACCCTGCCGGCAACTGCAGGGGCCTCCTCCAAGGCCTCTCTCCTCCCTTACAGCAGCTCCAGCCCCTCCTGCGCAGGTTCTTAATCCCAGCTCTCTCCGCAGTCCTGCCCCAGTGCTTGCCTCTCCAGCCACTGTCCCGCCTCCAGGCCCCGGCGCTGCCCATTCTTTTTTTTTTTTCTCTCGAGTCTCACTCTGTCGCCAGGCTGGAGTGCAGCGCGATCTCGGCTCACTGCAACGTCCGTGTCCTGAGTTCAAACGATTCTCCTGCCTCAGCCTCCCGAGGAGTTGGGACGCCACCATGCCCAGATCATTTGTGTATTTTTAGTAGAGATGGGGTTTTGCCATGTTGGCCAGAATGGTCTTGATCTCTTGACCTCGTAATCTGCCCGCCTCGGCCTCCCACAGTGCTGGGATTACAAGCGTGAGTCACCCTGCCCTGCCTGCCCATTGTATTCTGCATTCCCTCCACCGATCTTGCTCCATGAGGCAGACCTCTGTTTTCTTCACTGGATTATTTCCCCAGACGTCGCCAGCATGGAAGGTGCACGGTGTCCTAGGGCCCTCGACGTTGGCATGTGGGGAGGAGTGTGTGGTTCCCTGCCCCTCCGCTGACATTCAGAACTTAGAAAAGCTACACCCGTTTGTACTTGCCCTGCTGGGCCAAAGGATGCCCTGCCTTGGTTTGTCTCTGGGGTAGCCAATGCGGGCTTTGTTGTGCACCTGCCCCATGGAATAGGGAGCTGCCCTCTGCCCCTGTCCTCCGTCGCTGACTCAGGGCCCCAGGACCCCCAGTGCCATGGCAACACCTTCCATAAGTGGCTCTTAAATGTATCTTTGATCCCTGAGGCCAGAGCTGGGTCTGTCCTGGTCACTACGTGGCTGGCCTGTGGCCTGTCATGAGGATCGATGAAGGGGCAGGTGTGTGAACAAAGGCATCTCAGCTGTGCCCCTTCCTTGGTTTTTTCCTGACTTCTCTGGCCAGTTTTTAGGTTAAAATAAGTCCCGCCTCATTTTAACAGATGTTTATTAAACATCCGCTCTGGCCAGGCCCTGATCAGGGTCCGGGGACGGTACCCTGAACACGACAGGCCCCTCCTGGTGCCGGTGGGTGGATGGGGGAAATTAATGTCAGTGTCCCACCCGTGACTGCGTAATTCCACATGGGATGTGCATGTGGAAGAGGGAAAAAGAGCAAACCTTTCCTTCTGTGAGAGTGACGCTGGCGTGGACGGTCGGGAGGGGAGATGAAACTGAGAGTGGAAGTTACTCAGAGCTACTCTGGGGCCTGGCACGTAAGTTAGAACTACTTTGGGGCCCGGCACATTGGCTCACACCTGTAATCTCAGCACTTTGGGAGGCTGATGCTGGAGGATCACTCCAGCCCAGGAGTTTTTGACCAGCCTGGTCAACATGAGACCCCTGTCGCTACTTTTAAAAATTAAAAAAAAGGCCGGGCGCGGCGGCTCACGCCTGTCATCCCAGCACCTTGGGAGGCCGAGACGGGCGGATCACGAAGTCAGGAGCTCGAGACCATCCTGGCGAACACGGTGAAACCCCGTCTCTACTAAAAAAAATACAAAAATTAGCCGCGCGTGGTGGCGGCGCCTGTAGTCCCAGCTACTCGGGAGGCTGAGGCAGGAGAATGGCGTGAACCCGGAAGGTGGAGCTTGCAGTGAGCTGAGATCGCGCCACTGCACCCCATCCCGGGCGACAGAGCGAGACTCCGTCTCAAAAAAAAAGAAAAAGAAAAAGATATTTCGTGCAGAGAGAAGTGCCTGTTCAAAGGCCCTGAGGTGGGTGTGTGCTGGGTTTGTTCAAGCAGCAGAAAGGAGGCTGTGAGGGTGTGAGGGGAGAGGGCCTGGGGAGTTTGTGTTTGTCTGAGGGGGA